CGTAGTCCTAAGGACGAATCTGGGTTTGGCGGATGCCAGGAGATCGCTACCTGCCTGAATGCATTGCACCAACTGTGAAGTTTAGTGGAGGAGGAATAATGGTCTGGGGCTGTTTTTCATGGTTCGGGCTAGGCCCCTTAGTTCCAGTGAAGGGAAATCTTAACGCTACAGCATACAATGACATTCTAGACTATTCTGTGTTTCCAACTTTGTGGCAACAGTTTGCGGAAGGCCCTTTCCTGTTTCAGCATGACAATGCCCCCGTGCACAAAGCGAGGTCAATACAGAAATGGTTTGTCAAGATCGGTGTGGAAGAACTTGACTGGCCTGCACAGAGCCCTGACCTCAACCCCATCGAACACCTTTGGGATGAATTGGAACACCGACTGCGAGCCAGGCCTAATCGCCCAACATCAGTGCCCGACCTCACTAATGCTCTTGTGGCTGAATGGAAGCAAGTCCCCTCAGCAATGTTCCAACATCTAGTGGAAAGCCTTCCCAGAAGAGTGGAGGCTGTTATAGCAGCAAAGGGAGGAACAACTTCATATTAATGCCCATGATTTTGGAATGAGATGTTCGACGAGTAGGTGTCCACATACTTTTGGTCATGTAGTGCAGGAGGTTGGTGGCACCTTAATTGGGGAGGACAGGCTTGTGGTAATGGCTGGAACGGGATGAGTGGAATGGTATCACATATATCAAACACATAGTTGCATGCCATTCCATTTGCTTCGTTCCAGCCATTATTATGAGCCATCCTCCCCTCAGTAGCCTCCACTGATATATAATATACAAAAATGCATTTACACTCATAAGAGCGTCAATATTGTGGTTTCAATCAAAATGTTCCCCAACCATCAGTAAGGCCCACACACCTTTTAGGTAGCTAGTCCCACAGTACCTAGTCCCACAGTATCTAGTCCCACAGTATCTAGTCCCACAGTATCTAGTCCCACAGTATCTAGTCCCACAGTATCTAGTCCCACAGTATCTAGTCCCACAGTATCTAGTCCCACAGTATCTAGTCCCACAGTATCTAGTCCAACAGTATCTAGTCCCACAGTATCTAGTCCCACAGTATCTAGTCCCACAGTATCTAGTCCCACAGTATCTAGTCCACAGTATCTGTCCCACAGTAGCTAGTCCCAGTATCTAGTCCCACAGTACCTAGTCCCACAGTATCTAGTCCCACAGTATCTAGTCCCACAGTCCCTAGTCCCACAGTACCTAGTCCCACAGTATCTAGTCCCACTGTATGTTGTCCCAAGTAGCAGTCCATGGATCTAGTCCCACTAGCCCTAGTAGTACCCAGTTAGCCCACAGTATCTAGTCCCACAGTCCCTAGTCCCACAGTATCAGTCCCACGTAGTAGTCCCACAGTACTAGTCCCACATATGGTCTCATACTAGTCCCACAGTCCTAGTCCCACAGTATCTAGTCCCACAGTATCTAGTCCCACAGTCCCTAGTCCCACAGTACCTAGTCCCACAGATCTAGTCCACAATCTATTCCCAGTACCTAGTCCACAGATCTAGTCCCAGTACTGTCCCACAGTAGCTAGTCCCATGGTATCTAGTCCCATAGTCCTAGTCCCACGGTATGTAGTCCCATGGCATTTAGTCCCACAGTATCTAGTCCCACAGTCCCTAGTCCCTCAGTCCATAGTCCCACAGTACCTAGTCCCACAGTATCTAGTCCCACGATACCTGGTCCCTCAGTACCTAGTCCCACAGATCTAGTCCCACAGTATCTAGTCCCACAGTATCTAGTCCCACAGTATCTAGTCCCACAATATATATTCCCATAGTACCTAGTCCCACAGCATCTAGTCCCACAGTATCTATTCCCACAGTACCTAGTCCCACAGTATCTATTCCCACAGTACCTAGTCCCACAGTACCTAGTCCCACAGTATCTAGTCCCACAGTATCTAGTCCCACAGTATCTAGTCCCACAGTACCTAGTCCCACAGTATCTAGTCCCACAGTATCTAGTCCCACAGTACCTAGTCCCACAGTACCTAGTCCCACAGTACCTAGTCCCACAGTATCTAGTCCCACATACCATGGTACCCAGTACCTAGTCCCACAGTATCTAGTCCCACTGTACCTAGTCAACAGTTCTAGTCCCACAGTATCTAGTCCCACAGTATCTAGTCCCACAGTATCTAGTCCCACAGTACCTAGTCCCACAGTATCTAGTCCCACAGTATCTAGTCCCACAGTACCTAGTCCCACAGTATCTAGTCCCACAGTACCTAGTCCCACAGTATCTAGTCCCACAGTATCTAGTCCCACAGTACCTAGTCCCACAGTATCTAGTCCCAGTATCTAGTCCAACAGTACTAGTCCCACAGTATCTAGTCCCACAGTACTAGTCCCATGTATCTAGTCCCACAGTATCTAGTCCCACAGTATCTTAGTCCCACAGTACAGTCCGTCTACACAGTACCTAGTCCCACAGTATCTAGTCCCACTGTACCTAGTCCACAGTATCTAGTCCCACAGTATCTAGTCCCACAGTACCTAGTCCAACAGTATCTAGTCCCACAGTATCTAGTCCCACAGTATCTAGTCCCACAGTAATCACAGTCTAGTCCCACAGTACTAGTCCCACAGTATCTAGTCCCACGTACCTAGTCCACAGTATCTAGTCCCACAGTATCTAGTCCCACAGCAGTATCTAGTCCAACAACAGTATCTAGTCCCACAGTACCTAGTCCCACAGTACCTAAGTCCAAGTATCTAGTCCAACAGTATCTAGTCCCACAGTATCTAGTCCCACAGTACTAGTCCCATATCTAGTCCCAGCTAGTCCCAGTTCAGTCCCACGTATTAGTCCCATATGTCCATTCTAGTCCCACAGAGTCTAGTCCCACAGTATCTAGTCCCACAGTACCTAGTCCCACAGTATCTAGTCCCACAGTATCTAGTCCCACAGTACCTAGTCCCACAGTACCTAGTCCACAGTATCTAGTCCCACAGTATCTAGTCCCACAGTATCTAGTCCCACAGTATCTAGTCCCACAGTACCTAGTCCCACAGTACCTAGTCCCACAGTATCTAGTCCCACAGTATCTAGTCCCACAGTATCTAGTCCCACAGTATCTAGTCCCACAGTACCTAGTCCCACAGTACCTAGTCCCACAGTATCTAGTCCCACTAGTCACAGTATCTAGTCCCACAGTATCTAGTCCCACAGTATCTAGTCCCACAGTATCTAGTCCACAGTATCTAGTCCCACAGTACTAGTCCCACAGTATCTAGTCCCACAGTATCTAGTCCCACACAAGTATCTAGTCCACAGTACCTAGTCCCACAGTATAGTCCTAGTCCCACAGTACTAGTCCCACAGTATCTAGTCCCACAGTACCTAGTCCCAGAGTATCTAGTCCCACAGTATCTAGTCCAACAGCAGTATCTAGTCCAACAGCAGTATCTAGTCCCACAGCATCTAGTCCCACAGGATCTAGTCCCACAGTCCCTAGTCCCACAGTATCTAGTCCCACAGTACCTAGTCCCACAGTATCTAGTCCCACAGTACCTAGTCCCACATTATCTCCAGTGCTAACACAGTATCTAGTCCCACAGTATCTAGTCCCACAGTACCTAGTCCCACATTATCTAGTCCCACAGTACCTAGTCCCACAGTATCTAGCACCACAGTATCTAGTCCCACAGTGTCTAGTCCCACAGTATCTAGCACCACAGTATCTAGTCCCACAGTATCTAGTCCCACAGTATCTAGTCCCACAGTACCTAGTCCCACAGCATCTAGTCCCACAGTATCTAGTCCCACAGTATCTAGTCCCACAGTACGTAGTCCCACATTATCTCCAGTGCTAACACAGTACCTAGTCCCACAGTACCTAGTCCCACAGTATCTAGTCCCACAGTATCTAGTCCCACAGTATTTAGTCCCACAGTATCACCTCCAGTGCTAACACAGTGACAGGGTAGAAAGCTGGATCAGTGGTTAGCTGTAATGTTGATTTGTGATCCCTGTTGGCATTTCAGCAAAGCAACCCAGAGGAGGATTCTGGATATATAGTTACTCGTTCATATCTGTGGTTTATTTTGAGATAAGCAGCTGGATCACTATAGAGAGGTTGTCATGTTTGGTCAAATATGAACAACGTAACAATTTGGCTGCAATACATTCCTCCGTTCTCTCTGTGTTGGCATGGATTGGGAGTTTTTCAGGCACATGTGATCTGTATTGGTGAAATCCACTGACAGATTGGTAATGTGAATAGGCCAATGGAGCTGCATGCTGACTGGGGTTGTACAGTTTGTGATTCATAAAGGTGTCGTCAGAGCGCTGTCTCTGTCCTGTGAAAGCCATATGTATGGACTGGTCTGTCTCTGTCCTGTGAAAGCCATATAAATGGACTGGTCTGTCTCTGTCCTGTGAAAGCCATATGAATGGACTGGTCTGTCTCTGTCCTGTGAAAGCCATATAAATGGACTGGTCTGTCTCTGTCCTGTGAAGGCCATATAAATGGACTGGTCTGTCTCTGTCCTGTGAAGGCCATATGTATGGACTGGTCGGCTGAGCCCTCTGATTGGCTGACCACCTAGATCTGTCGTAGCCCCTTGCTATGAGTCAGTGACTTTACATTATATGCTATATGTGGCTATATGTCCGTGGCTATATGTCCGTGGCTATCTATCCGTGGCTATACAACAGTGACTATATGTCCGTGACTATCTGTCCGTGGCTATTTGTCCGTGGCTATTTGTCCGTGACTATTTGTCCTTGGCTATACGTCAGTGGCTATATGTCTGTGACTATTTTTCCGTGGCTATACGTCCGTGACTATTTGTCCGTGGTTGCACGTCAGTGGCTATCTGTCCGTGGCTATCTGTCCGTGGCTATATGTCCGTGACTATCTGTCCGTGGCTATATGTCCGTGGTTATATGTCCGTGGCTATATGTCCGTGGTTGCACGTCAGTGACTATTTGTCTGTGGCTATACGTCCGTGACTATTTGTCCGTGATTACACGTCCGTGCCCTCTCGGGGGTATAAGAGATTGTTGACACTAAAGCTGTTGTAGAAGTGGCTGTTGAACTGTCCTGCCTGTCCCCCTCCACTGAATGTGTTGTAGTACAGTCCTCTGTTAAAGGGAGACAGGCTGTCTGCTGGGTGACCGTGGCCCCCGAGGCCCGGCTCTGAGACCCCCGGGCTGTGACTGTCCTGGCCTGGGCCCGGGTTGGTGGTGTGGTATGGACTGCTATGGAGGGCTGTAATGTTCCTATTGGTCAGCTCGTTGACCAGTCCCAGAGAGCTAGTCTGTCTGCTGGGGGGACCAGAGGAGAGGGGACTGGAGGCTCCTAGGGGCCCGGAGCCCAGCCCAGACATACTGCTGAAGAAGTTATTAAAACACGGAGCGCCGCTGGACGCCAGGCCCGGGGAGGAGGAGCTCTTATGGCCCTCACTGACCACCTCCATGTCTGAGGAGGAGGGGCCAATGAGCTGGGGGCTGTCCATGGTCTTGATGGGCGGGGCGGTTCGGCCGTCCTCTGTCTTGGTGCCGTTAGTGGAGTCAGAGCGCCGCTTCCTCTTCCTCCTGAAGTTCCCGTTGTCAAACATCTTCTCACAGTTAGGATCCAACGTCCAGTAGTTCCCTTTACCTGAAACATAAATCATAGAAACTTTAGCATTATTATATAGTATTTAGATATTAATAAGCCATTATTAATACCCATTAGTATAATGTACATATCCAATTAAGAACTGGAGGGTGATATGTTCATTCTAAACTTGAGAAAACTGATGCTGGGCTAAACAATATTACAGGATAAAAGAAATGAGGCCTGCACAGTAAAATATATAGCAGGAATAAAGCACTAGGAGCAGCAACATTCCATGTGCGGGCCTCTTTATACGTACACATCCACATAATGTTGTAGTAGTTTAGTATGCTTCACATTATCACAAACAGTGATGTCAAACACCAAATACTCTGGCTTTGGGTTGGGAATGATGCACTGATGAGGAAGCCAATGTCTAGGTAGCTATTCATTTTAGTGAGTGTGGGGTTAGGATAGTGTCATTCCCCAGAATATGGGTGCTCCGCTCTGCACCTCCAGGATTAGGATATTAAACTGCCATGGTAGGAAACTGAAGGCTCATTTAGTATGGACAAGAAGCCTCTAATAACAAGCTAAGCCGTTATGTTGTAATCCATAAAGTTTCCTACACTAAACTTTACAGTAATGTACTGTTAAACCAAAGTTTCTTTGGAATTTACGGTTACATACTCTACCTTTATTTACAGTAATTTACAGGTAACTAGCTGCCAGTAAATTGACATAAAAACAACAGCATTTGTTTTACAGTGTATTATAACAAACTGTTGGGGCAATCTAATCTTGACCACATAGTTCTAATCTAATCTATAGAATAATATATACATGTTCTAATCTATAGAATTACTTCATAGTTCTAATCTAATCTCTAGAATAATATATATTCTAATCTATAGAATGATCACATAGTTCTAATCTAATCTCTAGAATAATATATATTCTAATCTATAGAATGATCACATAGTTCTAATCTAATCTCTAGAATAATATATATTCTAATCTATAGAATGACCACATAGTTATTTTTATTTCCCATGCTAAAGAAGCAAAGGCCACTCTATATATTAGATACATTATATTAGACTCATCTCAAGTCTATGGGACACTGCTGATAACAATTCCTAGATTTAATATGCACTAAATATACACTATGATAAGCATTCCAGTCTTCAAAATAAAGGAAACGAATTAAAGGATAAAATTAACAATTACCAGAATATGGTATGAATAAACCTCTATATTATCCAAATGATTTTAACTGACATGATCGCCTTGTTGTTAAGGGAATGAGTTAATTTAACCTAGTTTATTTTTCCGTTGAAACCCCGATGTGGGAACTCGCGCTAGGTTAGGTTAGTCTGCAACAGGCCTACATCAACTCGTTCAATCGGTTTTAGGCCCAAACTTTCACACGTCTTTTTATAGCATTTCTAACCGCTGAATCACATAGCCTACCTGAGTAATTCGAATATAAAATAATATCTACAAAATGGGCCTAGATGTTACAATAATAGAACAGGATAGGATAGGATCATACCTGGGTCATCCTCATCGCGGGGGACCTTTTTAAAACAGTCGTTGAGTGACAGGTTGTGTCGGATAGAGTTCTGCCACCCCGCCTTGCTCTTCTTGTAGAACGGGAAGTTATCAGCGACGTACTGGTAGATCTGACTCAGGGTCAACTTCTTCTCCTGCGCGTTCTGGATCGCCATGGCGATGAGCGCAGAGTAAGAGTAAGGAGGACGGACCATCTTCAGCAACTCTTCCTGACTGGCGATGGACAGCCAACCCAGGTCCGGACCCCCGAACCCGGGAGAGTTGGTAAGGAACTGCCGCTGGGTACCATAGGAAGGAGGCATAAAGGATGCGGTGTTGTTTCCGTGCAGGTAAGGGGTGGAGGAGTTGACCGGGGGCCCGTTCAGCCACAGGGATGACGCGTAATCTCCCAGGCCGTATCCAGACGGTCTCTGTGCACTCTGGAGTCCAGCCTGGTGGTACATGCTGAAGTTATCGCAGTAGACAGCCATCTCCGGCGGCTCCTGGGTGCTCTTGGGCTGGGGTTGGAGAGAGCTTGCGGTTGGAGAGGAGGTGTGGTGGACTGAAGGGTCGATGGAGTTCATGCTCCACGCGGGAGGACAACCCCAACGGAATTAGGACACGACAGTAACGTTCAGACCGACGACCTGATTCCAAGCGCGCAACGTCAGCAACAAGTGCCAGAATCCAAAATTGGAGTTTTAATTTTATAACTTCAGACCAACAGCTTCTCATCCAGACACTAGATCATCTCTAACAGCCAATAGACACTCACTAACTGGTTGGGGGTGTGGCCATTGAACTTAGTTTAGAGCAAGTTCAGAGGTGTGAAAGAGAAGAACTTCTCTATGTTTCATACAAACGGCAACATAAAACCCCACAGTGAGTGTTAACTTGAAATGTAATATTAATTGAAAAATGGAGGTTGTGAATTATTCCAACTAGGGCCAGTAGATAGGTCTAATATAAAAAAGACTTGCCACTTCCCCTACTGTTCTCCAAATGTTTCTATTATATCATGTTTTTTAAATGATTGTTGTTTTAATTACTACCGTTATTATTAATATTATTATTTTAATAATATACATGTACTTTTTAATATTTTCTAATGATATGCATTCAGATTAAAAGGCCTATCTAATAAATATATGGATACATATCTCTGTCTAAATCATGATTATTGTTATTCATAATATTATAATTCTCATCCTTGTTATTATCATTAGTAGTATTGGTAACAGCAGAAGCCTAGATTACCATTAGGCCTATTAGAATTAGTAGCCTACTAGTAGTAGTCCTATATGTTATCAAATTAATATCACTGGGCTTATGACAATAGCATTAATAATATTAATAATAGTAATAATAATAAATAAATAAAATAAAATAATAAAATAATAAAATAAATAAAATAAATAAAATAAATAAAATAAATAAATAAAATAAAATAAATATACTAATAAAATATGTATTATTTAATTATTCAATTAGATTTGCTTTGAGTTGAGGAAGCATTGAACTATAATGTTCATTATTCATGTCTGGTTCAATGAAGTAATAAAGTAACATGATGTGTGTGTGTGTGTGTGTGTGTGTGTGTGTGTGTGTGTGTGTGTGTGTGTGTGTGGTGTGTGTGTGTGTGTGTGTGTGTGTGTGTGGTGTGTGTGTGTGTGTGTGTGTGTGTGTGTGTGTGTGTGTGTGTGTGTGTGTGTGTGTGTGTGTGTGTGTGTGTGTGTGTGTGTGGTGTGTGGTGTGTGTGTGTGTGTGTGTGTGTGTGTGTGTGTGTGGTGTGTGTGTGTGTGTGGTGTGTGTGTGTGTGTGTGTGGTGTGTGTGGTGTGTGTTGTGTGTGTGTGTGTGTGTGTGTGTGTGTGTGTGTGTGTGTGTGTGTGTGTGTGTGTGTGTGTGTGTGTGTGTGTGTGTGTGTGTGTGGGTGGTCCTCTGTAGCTCAGCTGGTAGAGCACGGCGCTTGTAACGCCAAGGTAGTGGGTTCGATCCCCGGGACCACCCATACACAAAAATGTATGCGCACATGACTGTAAGTCGCTTTGGATAAAAGCTTCTGCTTAATGGTATATTATTATTGTGTATGTGGATGAATGTGTGTGTGACTATAAAAGTGTGTGGCCTAAACTAAGACCTGTGGGTATATGACTAAGACCTGTGGGTGTATGACTAAGACCTGTGGGTGTATGACTAAGACCTGTGGGTGTATGACTAAGACCTGTGGGTGTATGACTAAGACCTGTGGGTGTATAATGGTATCAACCTGTTGCTCAGATCATCTATAAATCATTATCAATTATGAGAAAATACTTTCAATCTGATTTTATAGAATAAATGTAAAATGGGCCCAACAGCTTTATAAAGCAGACTTCTAAAAGAATAAGACAGAATAAAAAATGTGGCCACATTCCTGTGTCAATTGAGTAAAAACCCTCATCAATCATAAAATAATATTCCAAACTTTGGAAAACAACCAAGAAGTGTAGCTATAGTGTAGCTCTTGTCCAGTTTCTAAAATAGTCTATGGCCTTTCTTCCTGTTTTACAAGATCACATGAACAACTCTGTGATGATCTATCATCATGTTCATATAGATGAGCTACAAAAGAAACCAACTGCCTTGCAATCTTAAAAAGCAGCACTTATATTAGTATAGCACATCTCCCAGTACACACTGCTTCCAAATGACGCCCGTCCATCACACAAGGTTCAGATTTGGACTCAACTCACAGCGAATGCAATAAATATGGCCAACATTTGCAGTTGGAAGAATTAAATGTAATCCTATCAAATTCATAGACCAAAAGCTCAGAAATTTTTTGTATTTCGCAAATTATAATATTGCCAAAGAATAGTGGACATTTGTCAATCATTTAATCAATAATTTGTCGTTCACGTTTTAGAACGCTGCAAGTAATAAATGTCCCGAACTCTTCTGATTAAGGCCCACACCATCCGTGGGGCTATACTGCCCTCTACTGTAGACAGACTGACATAGGAGGAAGGCGACAGTGACGCAGTGCACCGATTAACCACACGATGGCGCCGTGTGTTTGCTCTCTCCTCCGCGACCAACACATCCCGCAGTGGACGTAACAGCCACACGATGGCGACAGAGGTCTGTGTTCCACTGGAGGAATTTATGAAACACGAGATGAAAATGTTGCAAGAGAACAAGCCGAAAATGTTTTAAGAGGGAGGGAGGGAGGGAGGGAGGGAGGGAGGGAGGGAGGGAGAAAGGGAGGGAGGAAATACATTAAACAAGCAATGGCAGCGTAGCTTACTGTATGTAGGCATACATTTTTCAAGAGGGAACTTCCCATTCGGAAGGGTAATTCTCTGTGCTATTTGGGTTGTTAATTAGATTTGTTCTGACATATATTGATTTTTTTATTTAACAAAAAAGATTATTTTAAAAATATATATGATTTGTGTACTTGATTGATATTTTACTGCATTGTTAGAACCTAGTAACTTAAGCATTTCGCTGAACCCGCTATAATATCGGCTACACTGTGAACATGATCCATTTGGATATAATACTACTGGGTAATATATCCAGATAGAGTAGAGAGGGGGGCCTCCAGACCACTGGGTAATATATCCAGATAGAGTAGAGAGGGGGGCCTCCATACCACTGGGTAATATATCCAGATAGAGTAGAGAGGGGGGCCTCCAGACCACTGGGTAATATATCCAGATAGAGTAGAGAGGGGGGCCTCCAGACCACTGGGTAATATATCCAGATAGAGTAGAGAGGGGGGCCTCCAGACCACTGGGTAATATATCCAGATAGAGTAGAGAGGGGGGCCTCCAGACCACTGGGTAATATATCCAGATAGAGTAGAGAGGGGGGCCTCCAGACCACTGGGTAATATATCCAGATAGAGTAGAGAGGGGGGCCTCCAGACCACTGGGTAATATATCCGATTAGAGTAGAGAGGGGGGCCTCCAGACCACTGGGTAATATATCCAGATAGATAGAGAGGGGGGCCTCCAGACCACTGGGTAATATATCCAGATAGAGTAGAGAGGGGGGCCTCCAGACCACTGGGTAATATATCCAGATAGTGTAGAGAGGGGGGCCTCCAGACCACTGGGTAATAGATCCAGATAGAGTAGAGAGGGGGGCCTCCAGACCACTGGGTAATATATCCAGATAGAGTAGAGAGGGGGGCCTCCAGACCACTGGGTAATATATCCAGATAGAGTAGAGAGGGGGGCCTCCAGACCACTGGGTAATATATCCAGATAGAGTAGAGAGGGGGGCCTCTATACCCCTGGGTAATATATCCAGATAGAGTAGAGAGGGGGGCCTCCAGACCACTGGGTAATATATCCAGATAGAGTAGAGAGGGGGGCCTGCAGACCACTGGGTAATATATCCAGATAGAGTAGAGAGGGGGGCCTGCAGTTTTTTCTCCTCATCAATCTACACACAACACACCATACTGACAAATCAAAACATGTTTTAAGATATTTTTGCAAATTTATAAAAAATAAAATGGTGAAATATCACATTCACTTAAGTATTCAGACCCTTTACTCAGTACTTTGTTGAACCACCTTTGTCAATGATTACAGCCTCGAGTATTCATGGGTATGATGCTCAAGTTTGGCACACCTGTATTTGGGATGTTTCTCCCATTCTTCTCTGCAGATCCTCTCAAGCTCTGTCAGGTTGAATGAGAGCGTCGCTGCACTGCTATTTTCAGGTCTCTCCAGAGATGTTCCATCGGGTTCAAGTCTGGGCTCTGGCTGGGCCACTCAATGACATTCAGAGACTTGTCCCGAAGCAACTCCTGCATTGTCTTGGCTTTTTGTTTAGGGTTGTTGTCCTGTTGGAAGGTGAACCTTCGCCCCTGTCTGAGGTCCTAAGCGCTCTGGAGCAGGTTTTCATCAAGGATCTCTCTGTACTTTGCTCCATTCATCTGTCCCTCAATCCTGACTAGTCTCCCAGTCCCTGCCGCTGAAAAACATCCCCACAGCATGATGCTGCCACCACTATGCTTAACCGTAGGGACGATGCCTGGTTTCCTCCAGTCGTGATGCTTGGCGTTCAGGCCAAAGAGTTCAATCTTGGTTTCATCAGACCAGAGAATCTTGTTTCTCATGGTCCAAGCGTCCTTTAGGTGCCTTTTGGCAAACTCCAAGCGGGCTGTCTTGTGCCTTTTTCTGAGGAGTGGATTCCATCTGGCCACACTACCATAAAGGCCTGATTGGTAGGGTGCTGCAGAGATGGTTGTCCTTCAGGAAGGTTCTCCCATCTCCACAGAGGGACTCTAGAGCTCTGTCAGAGTGACTATCGGGTTCTTGGTCACCTCCCTAACCAAGGCCCCTGTCCCCCGATTGCTCAGTCTTGCCGGGCGGCCAGCTTTTGGAAGAGTCTTGGTGGTTCCAAACTTCTTCCATTTAAGAATGATTGAGGCCACTGTGTTCTTGGGGACCTTCAATGCTGCAGACATTTTTTGGTACCCTTCCCCAGATCTGTGCCTCGACACAATCCTTTCTCGGAGCTCTACGGACGATTCCTTCGACCTCATAGCTTGGTTTTTGCTCTGACAAGCACTGTCAACTCTGG